GGTGACTCCCTCCGCGGAGCATCGTAGCGATCACTTTTTATGTTGACTTTCACTAAAAATGAGAGAAAGAAAAAACATATGTTTTCAAAGTTCGATGGGGCAAATCAGGACGCGGAGCTGTGCTGAAATAGCGTTCGGCACACAAAACGCAATGTTTTCTAGCGTTGGCAACGAAGGCGGTCTGACCATGAAATGTCCCCTAGAACGGTTTTCCTCTCAGAGGCCCCCTGAGGGGGCCGAACGGTGCCACACCAGCGCATCATGACATCCATCATCAAGACGAAAGTCCTGAGATGATGCGCGACCCCATACACATACGGAGGGCCAACCTTCCATGGACCAGTGCTGGATTATGACGCCATGGCGCATATCCTTGGCGCACCAGGCGCACCAGCGTGGCATAACATCGGTGGGCCACACCAGCGCGTCATGACTACCACCATCAGTGGATGCACATGCGGACGGCCAGTGTCCCATGCGTACCCATCTCTCTGCCACACCAACGCGTCATTGCATTCATTTTCATGACGATGTCCCTGCTACGACGACACGCGCATAACGTGCAATCGTTGGGTCTGGGGCGCACAAGTCGCCAGCGTGCGTTGATACCTCTACTTCTGGGCAGAGGCCAAAGGGGTCGCGCGCTTGGCGGGGGAAGACGGCATTTGTAATTCAGTCAAGATGCTGCTCGAACCGCGACGGCAGTGCTTTCTCGCTGCGGCAACAAGATGTCCACGAAATCGCCCTTATAATGGTTTCCCGTCAAATGGGCTCTTTACGGGAGCCGAACGGTCTTGCACAATCCCTGGGATCGGTACTGAATGAAGTCTCCATGGTGTATACTACCGGCAGCCCAGTGTGTCATGGAATCGGTGTGGTGTGCCACACCAGCGCATCATAGCACCCATAATCATGACGATGGTCCTGCGATGATACACGAGTGAATACACATGCGGAAGGCCAGCCTGCCATGATATCGGCGTGCCACACCAGCGTGTCATGAGACTCATCATTATGATGATGGGGGTGATGATGATGGTCCTGCGACAAAGCATGACTGGATTCACGTGCGGAGGGCCAGCGTTCCATGCGTATTACCGATAGGCCGCACCAGCGCGTCAGGACGTTCATCATCAAGGCGATGTCCTGCTTCGACGACACACGCGAAACATGGAATGGTAGCGCCTCGGGCGCATAAGTCGGCAGCGTCCGTTGATACCTTTTGCCTTGGCCAGGGGCCACGCGGGTCGCGCACGCGTGTGCCCGGAGCCCATTCCTCCTCCCCCTCCTTCCCTCCTCAGTATCAGTATCAGCATCATGTGGAGAAGGCGTCTGTGCTGCCTAATCCAAAAACGTAACAGCTTACCATTCAGCGTCTACTCCTCCTACGTATCCCCCTCCTCACCCGAAGGTGTGGGAACATTCGAAGGCACAGGCCCGACGCTCCAAGTTCGTCGATGGGCTCGCCGATGATGTTGATGATGCGGCCGAGGGTCCCCTCGCCCACGGGCACCTCCGGAAAGAGGGCCGCCGCCGGGGCTCCTCTGCCGCATCCCCCTCTGCCTCCTGCCTCCCGCCTCCTCCTCCTAATCATCCAGCGCCAACAGCGCTGCAGGAGGGAAGGAGGAGGAAGAAAGAGGGAGGGAAGGAGGGAGTGGGAAGAGGAGGAGGAGGAGGAGCAGCAGCAGCAGCAGGAAGGAGGGATGGCGGCGTCAGTATGACCCGAGCGCCATTAGCTCATAGCTCATAGCAGGAAGGAGGAGGAAGGAGGAAGCGGGAGGAACGAGGGGAGGAGGAAGAAGCAGGAGGAACGAGGTCGGAGAACGAAGGGCAAGAATAAGAACGAGGAGGAGAGGTGAAGGAGGGGGGAGGGAGGGAGGAAGGCTGGAGGGAAGAGGGGTGGAGGAGGAGGAGCGAGCAGGAGGAGGAGGACGAGGGGGGAGGAAGGAGAAGGGAGGGAGGAGAACTAGGTGAAGGGGAAGAGGGGAGGAGGAGCAGGTGAGAAGCAGGAGAAAGAAGAGGGGAGGAGGCAGAAGCGAGGAGAGAGGCGAAGAAAAGACAAGAGGGAAAGGAGGTAGAAGAAGGAGGAGGGAGGGAGGGAGGGAGGGAGGGAGGGAGGAGGAGGAGGAGGGCGGAGCAGACGAGAGGAGGAAAAGGAATGGAGGGAGAAGGGATGGGGATGAGGCTGGGCACATGCGGGGGCCCTCCTGAAGCGCCATCGTGGCCACGGCTGGATCGCCGAGAAGGTCTGGCCTGAACACACCTCAGGAGAGATCCGAACGGGCCGACTCGGGAAGAGTTGGCGGCGCACACAAATAAGTGGCGCGAGGGGGGCCGCCTTCTGAAAAGGCAGGGGACCTTCGAAACTCCCAGGCCCTTCTAAGACGGCCCTGGGCCTTCTAAGAAGTCAATCGCCTTTATGGAAGGTCACCCCCTCGCGGCACCCCCCCCGTGCGCGCCGCCGAAGGGAGGCAGCCCCGAGCGGACCTCGCGGCACCCCCCCCGTGCGCGCCGCCGAAGGGGAGGCAGCCCCGAGCGGACCGCCGCGCGGGCCACCCGCGCACGAGAGCGCCTTGATAGGCGAGCCTGTGTCCTGCACCGCCTGGCCGCGGGTGAGCCTCCGCGGGTCGGGCGCCGCCGCCGGGTGGGTCGGACGTCCGCCGCACTCAGCGGCGGCGTCGGCGGCGGCGTCGGCGTCGTCGTCGACGTCGTCTTCGTAATCCAGAAAATCCCGGAACTGGTCGTGCAGTTGTCGTCGTCGTCGTCGTCGCGTCGTCGTCGTCGTCGTCGTAGTCGCCGTCGCCGTCGTCGTCGTCGGCAGCGGCGCTCCGACGTCGCCGTTGTGCGGACTTGGACGTCCGCCACCAGCGGCGGCCGCGGCGTCGTCTGCGTCCGCCGTCGTCGTCGCCGTCGTCGTCGTCGTCGCCGCCGTCGTTTTCGTCGTCATCGTCGTCGTCGCTGTCGCCAGCTGAATGCCCCCGTCGATTGCAGGAAAGCTTGAAGCCCTCGTCGGCCGTCTTGAGGCGCTCTTGGGAAGGTTGCAGGGGGCCTCTCTGAGGCCATCTGGGGCTTTTAGGGGGCCCTCTTGAGGCCATCTGGGACTCTTGTCGGGCCGTGTTAGAGCTTCCTGGGCAGCCTCAAAGCGAAGTGGGAGGCGTCTGGGGTCGTTCCAGAGTACACCAGAGCTGGACACGCGCACACGTGAAAATCCTGCAAAAACACACTCTTGTGTGCCATGCACGGGATGTGGCCCTGGGGGCCCTCTTGAGCAGATGTTCGGTGGCTTCGTGGGGCGTCCTGGAGGCATCTGTCTGGAGGCTGTCTTTCTTGGGCGTCTTGGGCCGTTTTCTTCGCAAGCAAAGGCTCCCTAGATCGACTTGGGCAGGTCTGAAGGGCTGGTTGGCGGCTTCGTGGGAATTCTAAGGGCTCTCTGAGGCTGTTGTTGAGCCATGTTGAAGGTCCCTGGGCACTCTCACAGCGAACTCGAAATCGTCTGGGGCCGTTTCGGATTGCACCAGGGCTGGACACGCGCACTCGAAAAATTTACGAGATTCCGCCCTTGGGGCCTCTTGCGCAAGTTTTCGCGTTTTGAAAACGTCCTGGGCTGTCTGGGTTGCTACTGTGGTGAACGGGGGCGGCTGTGGGCTTCTCCAGGACGGCCCCTGGAGGGCCGGGGCACCCATAGCGACGGCACCAGGAGGCCCGGGGCACCCATGGCGACGCGAGGCAGCTGGCCGAGCGCCCCTTCAGGACGGCTCCCGGAGGCCCAAGCCAGCCATGGCGACGCGAGGCAGCTGGCAGAGCCCCCCCGTGTAGCCCAGTATGTATATATGTATAAACATTTATTTTAAAAAATATCTACTAGAACCACGCGCGCGCGCTTTGCGCGCGCTTAGTTAGGTTCCAGCGCCGGCTCCGCAGTCATTGTCACTAGGTTTTGCGCGAATCCACACTCTCGAGTTTACCAAAGAAGTGTCCCGAGCGTAGGCCACCCTCAGCGCGTGGCGCCAAACTTTCTGAGGGATGCAACGGGCTTGTGGGACAGTCACGGAGTCCGTCGACCCGTTTTGAATCATCAAGGCGTGTGAGATTCCCCCCTGAATCGCCCCCGGACAGGGGGGGGAGAGGGGGGGGGAGGGGGGAGGGGAAATTGCAGCTGAAAGTGCTGAGCGAACTTTACCCGTTTGACCATGGGATCCCCACTGTCAAGCGGGCCATCGGCCACACTTCCCTTCAGATTCCCTGTTTGACAATTGGAATCCCATTATAAAATGGGCAATCGGGTACCCCGATGACCCATTTGACAACGGGATTCCTTTTGCTAATTGGGCAATCGGAGCTCAATTCGCCCGCCTCGGCCGAGCCCCCTCGATTGCTCATTTGAATGGAAAACACCATCGGAGTCGGAGCTCAATTCCCGCGACTCGCTTCCCCCGATTGACAATGGGCCCCCACTGACAAATGGGCCATCGGAACTCAACTCCCGCGCCTCGGCCTGCCTCCCCGATGGTCCATGTGGCATCGAAAGGCGTCTCTGGGCTGGCCAGCAGAGCAGGGCGCGGCGATCTCGAAGGGCCCTCGCGCAGACGCCTCCTCTACCCCCTCCTCGTCTTCCTTCCCCCTCCCAGGCTGGCGTTTTGCGCGGTGGAGTCCCCGTCTTCTGAGTGCGGAAGCTGGCAACTTTCATTGGCAGCAAGTATCAAGCCTGGAGGCCTCAAAACTGTTCCCCTGAGGCTCCAAGAGCCTTCCGAATTGTCTCCTAACGGTCCCCCAGAGGGCTCCCAACCGACCCCATCAATCATCTGACCAAAACATCCCATGAAGGCCTCGAGAGGGGCGGAAGAAACCACAGCCCACCAGGGTCGACCAACCTACTCACAGGGCGCGAGAGATGCTGGTCTCTTCATCTTGTTCCCCACATGTTTCGTGGGGTGTTGGTTTTCTTCCCTGCAGCGGCGCACCCGCGTCTCCTCACACCTCCCCTCCTCCCTCTTTTTCCTCTCCGCACCCGCGCTCAACACATGCACGGCAAATACATGACACACGCGTCTACATACAGCCGCACGCATGCACACATTCGCACACAACACACACACACACACACACACACACCATACAACGCTAGTGCGCGCCTGGCGTGTTCACTGCGTCACACATCCACGACGCGTGCGCCACATAGTGGGCACCCACATGAGACACGTCCCGGTATGGCCGCTATGCACGACGGTCGTCCAGACATAGCAGGCGTGGCACTTCCTCGACACCAGAGGGGGTGCGTTGGGGGTGGGGGCCCTGTCCGTTTCGGGCTCGCAATGCGTCGCAGGCGTGGCACTTCCTCGACACCAGGGTGCGCTGGGGGGGGGGGCTATGCGTGGCACTTCCTCGACACCAGAGGGGGTGCGCTGGGGGTGGGGGGGCCCTATGCGTTTCGGGCTCGCAAAGCGTGGCAGGCGTGGCACTTCCTCGGCACCAGAGGGGGTGCGCTAGGGGTGGGGGGCCTATGCGCTGCAGGCCCTCAGGGCGTGGCAGGCGTGGCCTTTCCTGGGTGCCACAGGAAGCGGTCTCTATACGCGCCAATGTCGCAGTGCCTTGCAGGCGTGGCATTTCCTCGACGCCACAGGAGGTGCGCTGGGGGTAATATTGGAGGCTCTCGAGCCACTGTTACCTCCCATCGACGAGACATTGGCAGCGGCGGCATTGGCTTGTTTAGCTGTGCGCTCGCATCCCAAGTATTGCCCAGCGTCAAGCTTCGATTGCTCCCACTTGTCGCGCTCAAGCCTCTCAGCGTCGCTCAGCCTCTGTGGGCCTTATTGCAATCATCTGCTGGCCCTCGACAATTCTTGGGCTCTCGGGAATACGCGTAACATGGAATAGTGCTCTCTTTTCCGCGCGATTGATTGGATTGACTCCTGTTTTTCTGTTGCGCTCCTTTCCCACGTCCGCCCGTCGGGGCCTGGGATCGGCTCTGCCCTTTTCGGCCTCTATCCTTGGATCTCCCTCTGGTATACCTATCCTGGGCAGGAGCGGCACTAGACTTCTTTCCCGTACTCGGCTGAGCCGGCGCGGCAATCTTGGGCTTCTTGCGATTAAACGGACAGCCTTTCCCCGCACATGGGCAGGTTTCGCCCTTGCGCACGTACTTACACGTCGTCTCGCCCTTAGTCAATCCGCTTTTCATGACATCAGTGGATTTCCCCAGCTTAGCTGCCACTTCTGCCGGAGCGGCTTAGCCGCCGGCATTCCTTCGGTCGTCATTACCCCCACCTCCGCCGAACCGTGCCTGCCTATCACGTTGATTCAAGGTACCCTCATGCACGCTGATGTTCCATTCTTCTTTTTCTCGCAACATCATTTCCTCAATCTGCTCCATCAGCCATTCATAGCTCTTCACGCCATGTCCCATGTTACCTCTTGACATGTCGCATAGCTGGCATGCAGAATTCAGTTTGCTCGACTTTCTGCAATGCTCAAGGAAGTGCGCATGAATCGAGGCCCTCATTTCATCAGACGGAGGCCGGGCGCCGTAGAGCTGTTGGTATACGTCTGTCCATTCATTATAGAAGCGATTCAGGTCAGCATCTGGCTTGTGGGGGTCAATAACTACCTGGAAGACATCACGCGAAATGCGGCATTGGCCCAGCTCCGATCTGACAGGGCACCAATGGCAAATGGCTCGTACCATCTCGCGTCCAGTTAAGAGCCCCTCATTCTGGGCGCTGTACTCCATTCGTTGGACCTCTTGGAGGAAATGGATATGATGACCAGGCTGGCTGCGATTTCTTCGCATGTTGTTGAATTGTTCAATCAGATTTGTAGCAATCATAAGATCAAGACGCTGAAAGCGCCCTGCATCTTTCAACTGTTCATCGTCCACGGCTGGGTCCATAGCTTCCGCGATCCAGTGATGCGCTGCCTGACTCTCAGGCGATGATCCGGCGATCGCCCGGGCCGCATGCATTTGCCACTCCCGTATGTTTACAACATTGGGGATATCCATCAAGTCGATCTTCTGATTGTTACAAACCTGTCTCTATTGGTCCAACGGCGTACTTTCATCGATAACAACTGGATCCTGCGGCCCGCGAGGGCCCTGAGGTCCCCCGCGGCTGCCTCCACCATCCGAGGGATCTGAACCCCCTGGGCTTCCTGGAGGCGATTTATAAGGTCGTTCACCGTGATCATCGTCGCGCATCGACATGATCTCGGCATTCGGAGCGTCACTCTTGTCGTCCCCATCTCCGTCCTGTCCTACCCCGCCCGACGATTTAGTCACCGTCAGTCCCATAGGGCCATCCTTTGCGGATGGGCGGTAATTGGCGAGAATGTTGTCGTCATTAGACCCTGTCAATTCAATGATAATTGGAAATCCATTCTCAGGGATGCTCGGCTTAGCCGGACCCTCTAGCGCAGGACCGGGAACAGTAAAGTTGTCGCGCAACAACAACCTCACAGGAGTGTCTCGTGAAAGCAGCGGCAAATCAAATGAACTCGACGTGAGCCCTTTTCCTTGTTTATGTTCAGTATACGGAGTCGGATTCGCGCTGATGGCTTCAAGCCTCATCATTCCTTTCTCTGACTCAGCTGCGTTCGCCATGGCCTCTTCTTCTCGCACGTTGGCGGCTGACCTTTCACTCTTCCGTAAAACGCATTTGGAACATCTTCTAGCGCTCGCATCGAAATGATCTTCACAAGCTGGCAAACCACAGCCAGCGCAATTACCCGTCCTCGGGCAAAAGCAAACCGAACAAAACTGAGCCACTATGGAACTCTCTGCTTGGAATTCTCCCCTTTCTGCGGGTGGAGGCTGCGCTACCGCCCTTACCAGCAGTGTCGACGATCCCGCGTTTGCTACATTTCCCAAGTCGCACTGTAATGGAACGGATGCAGTGCCAAACGACTGAGCCGCTGACAATAGATGTATGTTCGCCCCAGTCGGCTTGGTCGGCGGGCATGTGGCATTGCTCGATTGCACACGCTGCAGGGATGCTCTGGTTTCTTCATGCGAACTAAGTTCTTCCAAATATTGATTGTTCTGGTCAGCTATATTCGCAGCTACTGCTTGGGTGTCAACCGCTTCCAGCCTGGCGTTTTTAAGCTCGTCTTGTAAGGTCTGCTTTTCTCGTTCCGCCCTGACTGTAGCGCTTTGTTCTCTTTCTATTCTGGCCGCCGCAACAGCCGCTGCGACCGCTTCGGCATTAACAGACTGATTGGTTGCCGCCGCAACGGCCTGTCGTTCCGAAGCCAACATTTCAAGATATCTGCTTTCGGCCCCTATCTCCGCCTGCCGCTTAGCGGCCGCGGTCTGATGATACATTTGTTCCATCAGTTCTCGTGATCGCTCTCTTGCGGCCATAGCTAGGGCGAGTCTTTCAGCCTCTAACGTCTTCCGAACTTCTGCCATGGTTGCAGTCATTTCCTCTCGGTCCAGACGGGCCCTTTCGGCCAACTGTGCTTCGCTGGCGAGGAAGTCTCGCTGGGTGTTAGCCTCAGCTAGCCTAGCCTGGCCCTGAATAGTTTGCATGAGGAGATATGTGCAATTGTGCTCGTCCATAGGCAAGCACTCTGTACATAACCATTGGACACTACACTTGGGGCATACATCAGAGCAACTCTTACAAACTTGATGCCTACATGCACCTTCTGGCCTGCCAGCTTTCCCTGGGCATCTGATTTCCGCCTGAGGCGCGCAGTCAACGTTTGGGTTCCAGCATGCCTCCGCTATGGAGATGGTACTGTTGCTCCTTGAAGTAGATCTCGCCCCTGGTCTTGGTATTTTGGGTCTTCCCCTACTAGACGCATTCGATCTGGGGCGAACAAAAATACTTTCCGGGGGTTTAGGTACGTCTAGGAGCCCCTCATCCCTCGTGTCCTGTAGTATCAGCTCAGTGCACGAAGCTGGTTGTCCAACCATTTCATCGCCCTCAACAACAGCTGGTATCGAGGGTTGCCCGTCACCTGAGGTGACTGCAGGACGATAGAAACCTTCTCTCAGTGGTGAAACGTTCATAATCCTCGTTTCTCTGCTTCTTGAGCTGAGGTGCAGGGGTCCGTCCTGTGGACTCCCCCTCATGCTTCGCCTGAGGCTCAGTCCTGTCCGCCTGAGGCGTCAGGAAACTGGTATCTTCATCAGGTCCATCTGGGGACCACCTCTCGCCTTGGGCGGGGTGGTCTTCTTCCATCATCAGGGACAATTCTCGGCTCAGAAGGACTTCGTTGTTGATATTGTCAAAATCTTCCTCCATTGTGTTTATCTCATGCTCTTTATCAATGGGATCACCACTGCCCTGACCGAATTGTCCATATAACGCTATTGGGATGGGGGCATCTCTATTCGTACCTGCCCATTCGCCTGGGACGCTGGGGTACACGCCTGCGTCCTCATGGGCTTCCCCTTGCCGACTGGTTTCACCAGTGGCAGGCACGATTGCATGTGTAGCATTCGGAATCGGGCTGATTGACTCCGTCGATTTGGCACTCCAAGACGAGAACGCGCTTCCTCTAGGTCTCGCTGTTATGCCCTTCCGCCCATACGGTTCTGGGGTTTGCTCCCGATTGCCCATCGGACTTCCAGGGGGAGATACATCTACCGACATCTCTACCGCTCCTTCGGCGCTCCTACCCCTAGATACCCGAGTGGCGATACTGGAAGGGGGAACGCGGCCCTGGCCAGGGCCGCTCTCGTTGATGTCGTGTCCGTCATGTTGTGCAACGCGCTGATCTGCGCTTCGCGAAACGACGGACACGTCATCTGTCTTATCACAGCTCATTCCCGCAGCGACTAAGTCGAGGGGTTCATCCGAAATTCTCGCGTCCGGGTGAGATGATCCCGCGTCGACTACGTCGCGCGTTTCGGCTGATAACCAGTCTTTCCTCTGAGAATCGGGGCAAGATGCCGAAGGAATTAAGATCTCATGTTCACTCTGCTCAGGGGGAGAGGGGGCGGGATGAGACATCGATGAGACAAGTATCCGGTAAGCAAAATTACTATATCAGGAATGCGTAGGGAGGAGGCCGGCTGGCCTACGACCGACGACGCAAGACGGCCGAGG